CAAAAACCCAAGGCAAGATAGATTAAATTATCTTGACACTAAAGTTAGTGCCTGAGTCCAGTGAATCATTATAGCTGTTTCTCCACATCAAAATCAACGCTCATACCACACATATGCCCTGAAATAGTGTCCAGCTGATGAAACCTCCTTGGAGAATGAAGAACTGAGAATGTTATTTACCGACTTTTTCTTTCTGATGTATATAATATGAATATCTTCACTTCGATACTCTTCATCATGTTTTTCCAAAGGAATTTCTTCAAAGTCAAAGTCTAGCTGAAGGAGCTATAAATTTAAGAGACATACTTCAAATTCAGTAATATGAACTGACCTGTGGGTGACAGAAGTCAGAATGGTGGTTATTTTTTTTTTTTTGAGACAGTCTCACTCTGTCACCCAGGCTGGCGTGCAGTGGTGCGATCTTGGCTCACTGCAACCTCCGCCTCCCTGGGTTCAAGCAATTCTCCTGCCTCAGCCTCCTGAGTAGCTGGGATTACAGGAGTGTAACACCACACCTAGCTAATTTTTGTATTTTTTGTAAAGAAAGGGTTTCACCATATTGGCCAGGCTGGTCTCGAACTCCTGACCTCGTGATCCGCCCATCTCGGACTCCCAAAGCGCTGGGATTACAGGCATGAGCCACTGCGCCTGGCCAGTGGTTACCCTTTGGGGAGTACTGCCTGGGAAAGGGCAGTGTGCAAACCTTCCAAGATCCTGAAAATGTCCTCTATCTTTATGTTGGTAATAGTCACTTGGGTGTATACACATGAAAAATTAAGCTCAGCACTTGACTGATAGGTATGCATTTTACATATGCTTTATCAGTAAAAGCTGTTTAACAGTAAGAAATTTTCATTATGAATCATTTCAAAACATGAGCATTTTTCATATTCAAGAAAAACATGAAAACAAAAAAAACATTTTAGTATATGTTACCTGAGGCAATCATATACCTGCTGTCTCATTAAACCAAAGTAGTCCTTTCAGCAGACAAAACTGCAGGCCTATATAGATGTACCCTCAAAAGCGTACTCACAATGTGACAGTAGATAGAAATCTACTCACAATGTGATAGATTTGTGTCCATAAAAAGGGTTTGGGTTATCACTAGAGGAAGAAGGGTGACAGATACATAAAACCTTATATACTATATTTGCAACTTTGTGTAAGTCTTTTCTAACTACTTCAGAACAAAAAGTTAAAGAAAAAAAAAAGACCCTAAAAATAGACAGTTATCTAGGTTGGAGGTTTCACAAATACGTAGACAAAAACACAGAAGTAAAAACTTATCACTTGGCAACATGGGAAAACCCCATCTCTACAAAAAAACACAAAAAGTGAGTCGGGTGTGGTAATACATGCCTTTTGTTCCAGTTACTCGTGGGGGCTGAGGCAGAAGGATCACTTGAGCCTAGGAGGTTGAGGATGCAGTGAGCCCTGACTATGCCACTGCACTCCGGCATGGGCTATAGGGTGAAACTCTGTCTCAAAACATAAACAAAAACAAACAAACAAACAAAAACAACTTACCACCTGCACATTTCTTTTTTTTTTTTTTGAGACGGAGTCTCGCTCTGTCGCCCAACCTCCGGCCTCCCGGGTTTACGCCATTCTCCTGCCTCAGCCTCCGGAGTAGCTGGGACTACAGGCGCCCGCCACCTCGACCTCGCCCGGCTAGTTTTTTTGTATTTTTTAGTAGAGACGGGGTTTCACCGTGTTAGCCAGGATGGTCTCGATCTCCTGACCTCGTGATCCACCAGTTTCGGCCTCCCAAAGTGCTAGGATTACAGGCTTGAGCCACCGCGCCCGGCCTCACCTGCACATTTCTATCACGCATTCTCCAAAGGTAATACATACATCATTAATATGTTCCCCAAAGGCAGTATCATGTGGAATAAACACTGAATACTGTTCTTAAAAAGGAGTGGCACCAGTATTATTTAACATTCTTCTGTAGCCACAGATCAACTAATTAGAAATGAAATAAAGGATCAGAAAAGATGAAAAAGGGGAGCTCTGCAGAATCATGGGCTGTGAAGATCCTTTTCTCAGCTTCACACAAACAATGTTTTCCCCACCCAAAATTACCATAAAATACTTGAAGAGTCACATACAGCCTCCCTGAAAGGAAATCACTACAAAGATAATACAGCACTTAATACTTACCTCAAAATATTTTTTCTCAATTTCTGGATTTTTTCCCATTGTTCGTTGTTCATAACAACATATAATACAAGTTTCAAATCCACTGATATCTTTTAGAGTTTTCAGCAATGGCTCCAAAGACTATTTAAAAAAGAATATACTTTTTGTTTATGATTTAAAAATATTTTCTACTCTAAAAGTGGGTTGAGGAGGTAGAGGGATATTTATAGCTCCCCTACAATTTATCCATCTTTGAATCAATCCAACAAAGTACATGTAATTAAAGCTCTAGGCTAGGTGTGGTGGTTCACACCTCTAATATCAACACTTTGGAAGGCAGAGATGAAAGATTGCTTGAAACCAGGAGTTCAAGACCAGCCAGGAAAATATAGCGAGAGACACCCCACCTCCACACACACCTTACAAAAAGTTGAAAAATTAGCTAGCATGCTGGTGCACACCTATAGTCCTAGCTATTGAGGAGGCTGAATGGGAGGACTGAGTCTCAGGGGCTCAAGGTTACAGTGAGCTATGCTCACTCCACCGCATTACAACATGTGTGACAGAGCAAGACCCCTACCTTAAAACAAACAAAAACCCCTCTGTAACTAACGATTGGGTAAGCTCCTCTTAACTAAACCATGTGCTGATTTCCCTTTCCAGAAAAAGGATTCAGACAACTGCATTTTGGGGTTCTCATGGAAAAACAAATGTAATCAACTTTACTCAAGAGTTTAATTTTATGTAATTTAATTTGAGATTTAAATAATCAACAATTTACCCTACAAAAGTTAAATCTGACCCTAACTTGGTTCAATGCTAATTATTTTTAAAATAACTGATGCCCACAACACTACACAAACTGATGCACCTTTTTTTTTTTTTTGAGATGGAGTTTCGCTCTTGTTGCCCAGGCTAGAATGCAACGGCGCTATCTCAGCTCACTGCAACCTCCGCCTCCCGGGTTCAAGCGATCCTCCTGCCTCAGCCTCCCAAATAACTGGGATTACACGCATGCACCACCACGCCAGGCTAATTTTGTATTTTTAGTAGAGACAAGTTTTGTCATGTAGGTCAGGCTGGTCTCGAACTTCCGACCTCAGGTGACCCACCCGCCTTGGCCTCCCAAGTGCTGGGATTACGGTGGTGAACTACCGCGCCCGGCCCAAACTGATATTTAAAGCAAAGAACAGTGAATTATTTACAACTTAATTCTCAATGTCATGGTTAACATGTTCCCTGGGAACAACCAAGGGAAAAAGAGACGATTTTGGCTTTTCATAACATCCAATTGACAAAATCCTTTAAAATTTTTACAGAAGCCGTGAGTAAAATGCATGTAACACTTTTCTCAACATGCTTCACCAGGCCGGTATGTTAATGATGAGCATATATACAAATGGTCCATGGTGACTTTTATCTTTTCTTTACTGCATCAACTATAAGGCAAATCCCGGATTCAAAGATGTTAAAATGTGAAGAAACGTGTGCTTCAGAATCCATGAAATATGGTTCATCTTCTAAATGAAGATATTTGACTCACTGAATACTTACCTCTTCATAGTATATGCAGTCGGCCATCAGTATATAGTCGGGTGGAGAAGGAAAGCCTTCTATTTCTTCCCCCCTTAAAAATGTCAAACAAATATTTCAATTGTTTTAATAATTCAAAATACTCTTGTTTTATAAAGAACCGAAAAGTCCCCTTCCATCCTTTTAATGAAACGCAATTTAAAACAAACTACAAATCGATATCTTAAAACAAGCTGAAAGGCCATACAAACCATTTCAGTACCTTGGCTTGAACAGAACCAGTGACAAGATGCTTGTTCATATTAATATTCATCTTCAGCAAGTCTTGCAATTCCTCAAGATCGGTGACTACAACATCAGCCCTATAAAATAACGTCGACTGAGGTGTAAGCACAGGCGGGAAAACCTGTAATCTGGATTTCTCCAGCAAGAAGGTGCCCCCACATCCCGCCCGCCCGTCGGCTCTTACCCAAGGGTAGCGGCCATGAGCCCCACGGCCCCGGTACCCGAACCCAGCTCCAGCACCGACCGCCGGCTCAGCGCGTGGGCCCCGTCGCCAGAAAACTCGGGCGTTTCCAGGTATTTAGAAAGGACAATGGCAGCGTCCCAAACAACACAACCCACGCCGCCGGAGCCATACTGCTGTAGTCGTAGCACCGTACCATCCCGCTTCTCCAAAACGCGCACAAAGCTCCGCAGTGGGTCCTCCGGCGAGGACTCCGGCGTAGCCGCCATCGCGGCCGGCAACAGAAAGCGGCGCGCGCAGGCACGTCACATCAACGCGCACCGCCCCGCCCTGCGGCTCCGCCCCCTCCCCGCGGCTGAGTTGACGCAGCAGCGCGCGTGAGTTAACAAAGCCCGGAAGGCGGCGTTACCTGGGCGGGGCCGAATGTGGGGCTCCGCCTTTCCCGACGCGCTTGGCAGCCCCCGCTCTACTCTAAATCACACGTTTGGCTTAACGAAGAGGTCGTTTAAATCACTTTTCTTGACAAAACTACTATTATAATCTGCTCTTTAAAAAACAAAGCCAACCTCAGAGTTTACCTAGTTGGAGACTTGATTTACAGAGTAGTTACAAGGCTTAAATGCAAGCAGCTTCCAAGATCCTACGAAAGATGGCTATAATCTTACAATCTTCCTTTTCAAGTTCCTAGTATGCTCCTAGTTTTTTGTATGAATTCATAAAAGTGGTTGCTAGAAGCCTGCAGCTCACATTTAACACTGAAGAAAAGTGTGTGTGTGTGTGTGTGTGTGTCTCTCTCTCTACAGGACTCAACAATCTCCCCCTTTGTTCCTTATAATGAAAACACATATTTTAAAAGTCTTTTAAAAATTAAGACTGGGGTGATTTATTAATCTTGTTAAGAACTCTGATACAAAGCACAGTAAAAGGCCACAGACCAGTAAATAAACAACGTGGCTTTTGGCTACTTTACAACTGCTGCTACAGCACTATCAGCAAAACACTCTTTATCACTTTGAACAAAGGCATCCAAATGGCAAATAAAAGTTTTACTCACTTATCTGATTAAAACATTTAATAAAGCTTTAAGTATTTGCTGGTTTAAATATTACCGATCTAAAAAATATATTTAAAAAAAATTTCAGTTAACACGAGATTTATAGAGAAAGTTACTAGGTGTTGAAGGCAAGGCAGTTGGTTCCTATGCCATAGAATTTTTTTTGAATTTATGAATTAGTAAAGTAGCAGATTGTATTATAGGCCTCAAGTCACTTAAATTTATATAGGTTATTAGCAGTATCTTTAAATATACAATATAAACAAAACTGTACATACATGGCATATTAACTGTTTTCCATAACAATAGGCAATTCATTAGCTAAAGACATCATAGTCTGCAAAAACAAAAGGCACATCTGAATGAGATACATGCCCTTTTTACCTCCATCATTGGGTTATGTAGTCTTTGATTACATTTTGACAAAATAATAAACACTTACAGTGCCATTCTATTATTTTCATCCTACTTTTCATTTTTGTCTTCAGCAGCAAATACCGGCATTTAAGACATGGAATTAAAGAGTTTAAGAACAGTTGGTGTTATTCACAATTCTCCTAGATGTAAAAACTAGAAGTAAAAACTAGAAGATGGTCAAAGAGGTTTAAAAATCAGTAACACCATATACCCCCTCCCATATTTGTGTAAATTCACTGCCTTAAAAAGGCATCTATTACTCAAATTTGAAAAATTTCACAAAAGCACTATCCCTTTTCAGTGCAATCATGTCACTTTAAACCATATTTTTGCAGAGTTTACAGTGCAAATATAAATTCTTTATACTGGCCTTTTGGCAGCACTGAGGATCCAAGACAAGGCAATGCTACTGATCACCTGAGGATAATGGTGAAGGACTTTTGTATTTTTATTTTTCCAATTCTTAAAAGCTTATTTGATCAGTAGCATTTTTGTAAGAGCATTATTTGTAAAAAGTACTAAAATACTATGTCTTTTTTTGAATAAATTAAAAAAAAACTTTACAAATACCATTCCAGTGTCAATGACTACATATGGCTAAGGTCATTGGGGAGTTTCTGCATTTTCTAGCAAAGGCAGTCTGTACAATGGGGGATGCGAAAGCTCCCGTTTGTAAGTCTTTGGTGGCAGTTTTGGCAGATGAGGGCTTGAATTCTGCCTTGGTGGAACAGGGGGAGCTGGAGGATGAGCAAGATTATTCTGACTAGAACTGAGCACATAGCATCGACGTGGTACCCTTGGAGAGGGTGTGCTAGGAGGAGTGCTTGGCGAATTTGGACACGTACTAATGTCTCTGAGCCAGTCTGAATCTCTGTGAAGATGCCCCAGTGGAGGTGGCTGAAGATTAAATGGACAGTTTATAAAGTGTTCTGGAGGCCGAAGGGGAACCGGTGGAGGGGTATCAGGAAGAGGATCTCTTGGTGGTGGTGGAGGTGGACTATGCAGAGGCCCATCAAATGCACCAGTAGGAACAGGAACTCTGGGTTTTACCTTGGGAGGAGGAGGCTGTCTCGGTGGAATAGCAGGAGGATCATCATCAGATTTCATATTTCCCTCAAAAAAAAAAAAAAAAAAGTAATTAAATTATACCTCTATTCTCCTGAAAAATTTTTTAAAATGTTAAGTCGGAAAAATTCTTATGTATCAAGTTAAATTCAGAGGCTCAAAATAAACTAATCTGGGTTAATTATCAGATTATGAGTGCTCCTAGTTTAATTCAGGGCTGAGTTTAATATTTTTATATATGAGATGTTTTAAGTCTTAGAACATAACTCTTTATCTTGCTTTGTGCATACATTTCAGAAATTTATGTATTTTAATTATTATAATAGGTAAGTGACAATTTATTGCTTTATAGACATGAAAGGACATGATGTCAAGAGGATTTTAATGTCTAGCTTCTGCTTACTGGGCATCTACTGCTCCTTTCTCCAATGAGGCTTAGAGCAGTAGATCTCAAAGTGTGATCCAGGGACCAACAGCATCAGTACCAGTAGGGAACTTGTTAGAAAAGCAAATTCTTGGGCCCCATCCTAGACCTACTAAATCAGAAACTCTGGAGGTGGGGCTCCACAATCTGATTTTACCAAGCCTTTTAGGTAATTCTGATGCACCCTTAAAATTTTGAGAAGCATTAGTTGAAAGTTTGAAGAATGCTTGGAATACTACTAAAGGTTTTTTCCACCTGTACCAGAAAGAAATTGTACTTCCAGCCTCTTTTTCATTTTTAGTTTTTGAAATGGAGTCTTGTTCTGTCGACTAGGCTGGAGTGCTATGGTACAATCTTGGCTCACTGCAACCTACCTCCACCTCCCAGGTTCAAGTGATTCTCCTGCCTTAGCCTCCTGAGTAGCTGGGGTTACAGGTGCCCACCACCATGTCCGGCTAATTTTTGTATTTTTAGTAGAGACAGGGTTTCACCATATTGGCTAGGCTGGTCTTGAACTCCTGACTTCAGGTGATCTGCCTGCCTCAGCCTCCCAACCAGTGTTGTTTTTTTTTTTGAGACAGAGTTTTGCAATTGTTGCTCAGGCTGGAGTGCAGTGGCACAATCCTGGCTCACTGCAACCTCCACCTCCCAGGTTCAAGCGCTTATCCTGCCTCAGCCTCCCTAGTAGCTGGAATCAGAGGCACCTGCCACCACACCCAGCTAATTTTTTGTATTTTTAGTAGAGATGGGGTTTCATCATGTTGACCAGGCTGGTCTCGAACTCCTGATCTCAGGTGATCTACCCGCCTCGTCCTCCCAAAGTGCTGGGATTACAGGCATGAGACACCGTGCCTGGCCCAGCCTCTTATTTAGAAAAGGTTTTTATAAGGATTAAACAACTAAAAGTATTTTTCAAATATAACAACCCAAATGTTGAAAAACCATAAATGGTAGCCAAAGTATAATTCACAGACTCTTTATAACACTGGGCATTATTTTGAAGATTCACAACTCTGAATAAGTTGGAGTAAAGTCCTGTTGATTACCTTAGAATTTGAAGCATCATGATCAAACTTTTTTCGAGGAGGAAGAGGAGGAGGAATCAGGGGCTCTTCACTTAGTTTATGTAAACTACCACATGAACTAAAGAAAGACTCTGGGGGAGAAAAAGACTAGTTTAACCACAATTCACAGTATAATTATAAGATAAACCTTTATCACAGCTTCTGGTCGATACTTCTACTATGGCATTTGTCAGACTATCGACTATTGGTTTATCTATCTTCCCCATTAAACTGTAAGCTTTCTGAGGGCAGTGTGTATTTATTTCTGTATCTCTAGCACCACCACAGTGCCTGGGGCATGATGGGTACTTTAGCTAAATGAAGGTATACCATTTAATTACGATTAATGAGATTCTGCTCCCTGAAAAGTCTTTCACAAATCAAAACATGTCTAAATATACTGTAGTAACTTCCAAAGAAAGACCATCCTAATCAGAGACCATATATTTTTGAAGCAGCTACGATTGGGCCCATCACCACACAGGTAATAAAACCCTCCATATAGAAGCCCATAAGGTAGTGTTAATATCACATAACTCTTTGTCTTTGCAAGTCTCTCACTGATAATGTACACGTTATATAATCACATTAAAGGAAATTTACAAAATGATAAATGACAGGAAAATACCCCTAAACAGATCAACCAGACATATAATAATTACTATCTTCATTTTTACTTTTTCTATAGTTCAACTTCCCATTTGATCTCTCTATATTCACACTGTTGTTACAAAGGCAGTAACTATGTCGTATTTATCATTATACTGAGATCGGGAACACAGGAGCTAACTGGGAAAGAAGTTGATGAGTTTAACCTTAAACAATCTAACTGAACTGCTTATGAGACATCCAAGTAGATATGTCAAACTAATTATTCTGTGTCAAAAATTGCTATCCTGATCATGTGGCTCTGCAGTTACCTCTGGGCGGGGGGCGGGGGGGGGGAGGAGGGCATCCTGTTGGCTCAGGAGGAAACAGCTGATACAAAAGGTATGCTTATGAGGTTGGCAGATGGTGAGGGGAGGTTAGGCAGAGGATGTTCCTCAGACCTGCCAGCATTGTTTGTGCGGTCTTTGGGAGAACTCCTCTCGGTGGTGCTACATCTGTCCCATTTGGTTTAGTTGGCCAATCCTGCCCAGGGCACCCCAATTCAAGCCAAGGAGTAGGCATGGGACTCACTTTCTTAACATGATCAGATTTTTATCTACCTCTCTTTCATGCAAGTAGCCATTTTTTTAGGGAAAGCGAACCTGACCCCTTAGCTCCAGGGATGGGGCCTAATTAGTATAAATCAATCAGAGTAATCCCATTCCTTTAGCCAGAGTGATGAGTTTAACTGTAGGCATGTGACCTAATTCAGACCAGTGAAATTTAAAAGGAGATTTTCTGGGGGCTAATGGAAAGGAAGTTCCTCGCTCCTTTTTGGAAAAGCGTTGTCATACTGTCTTGTCTGTACTTCTCTCTATATATAATTTGACTGAACAAATAAGCACACAACCTTTACTGCTCTTGCCAGTTATGATTTTGAGGAAAAACAGCTTTAGATCAAGCTGATAATCTGGACAAAACAATGAAGAGTCAAAAAGAACCCTGGTCTTTAATTACATCATCGAGTCACTGAATCAACCAGTCTTAAAGCAGCCTTCCTCTAGGCTTCCAAGTATGTCTGAGTGTTTTCTTATTGTTTAAGCCAGTCTTAGGTGGTAACAGACGCACACATTCATGGAAGCAGATGATATGTGAATGATGGGAAAGCTATGAGAGTTTTGAATCTGGGTCTGACTCTACAGTCACCACTTAACTAGTATATTTCTCCATAGTAGGCAATCAATAACCCTTGCTGAAGTGTGAATGCAATTTAATTTTCTATCAAGTGCATTTCCCTACAAGACTACAGTTTTTATGAACTTTTTTAGTGCCTGCAGTTATTACAAACTGGTGAATATAGTAGAATTTACTAAACAATTTCTATAATGTTAGTTATCTATCTAAGTTAATTCTAATTTTCTGCCATTCATTCATTCATTCATTCAACAGTTATTGGGCACCTGCTAATACTGTCATGCACTGTCTGAAGCACTAGCAATATAACCGTGAACAAAATGCAAAAAGTCATGTCCTTATGGAACTTCTAATCTAGGTTAGGGAAAGATAAGTACAAGTATAATGCCTATAAATTATGAGAAGAAATATTTGGTTGGAAAGGGGTATAGAAAGAGGTGTGAGGGGAGCAATATAAATAGGGTGATTAGGGAAGGCTTCAGTAAGGTAACACAACCTGAAGGCGGTAAGGGAGCAGACTGTGAGGCCAAATGGCTGAAGAGTATTATAAGTAGCAGGAATGGCAAGAGCAAACATTGATGCAATAATGTGTCTATTATGTTAAGGCAGACTGACTGAAGGGGGAAAATAAGTGATGAGGTCTGACAGATTAAACAAACCCAAACTGTGTAGGGCCTGTAGGTTCTTTAAAGGAACTGGCTTTCACTCTGAGTGAGATGGAGAGCCACCAGAGGGCTTTTTTTTTTTTTTTTTTTTTTTGAGATGGAGTTTCACTCTTGTCGCCCAGGCTGGAGAGCAATGGTGTGATCTCGGCTCACTGCAACCTCTGCCTCCCGGGTTCAAGCAATTCTCCTGCTTCAGCCTCCTGAGTAGCTGGGATTACAGGCGCCTGCAACCAGGCTCAGCTAATTTTTGTATTGTTAGTAGAGACGGGGTTTCACCATGTTGGCCAGGCTGGTCTCGAACTCCCAACCTCAGGTGATCACCCACCTCAGCCTCCCAAAGTGCTGGGATTACAGGGGTGAGCCACCGCATGCTATACTAAAAACATACTAAAGTGGAGAAGATAAGAAGTTAGGATGCTTACTGTAATAAACAAGGTAAAAGTTATGGTGGCTTGGACCAGGGTGGCAGCAGTGGAGATGGTGAAAAATTGTTAGATTCTGGATATATTTTGAGAGTAGTCAAGATTTGTTGATAGGTCACATTTGGGGTGTGAGAAAGGGAGAGAAATAAAAGATACTTATATTATAGTATTTTTAGCCTAAGGAACTGGATGCTTGTAATTAGAATTGAGATGAGGATGCAGTGAGAGGAATAACTTTGGAGGGGATAATAAGAAGCTCAGTTTCAGAGAGGTTAAGTTTGAGATTCCTATAAAGATATCCAACTGGAGCTGTTAAATGGGTCATTAAATATATGAGTCTAGAAGTCAGAAGAGAGGTTCTGGCTAGAGATAAAAACTTGGGAATTATCATCATGTAAATGATACAAGACTGAACAACCAAGTGAGTGAGAAGAGGTCCAGAAACTGAGTCCTAAGGCCTTCCGATGTCAACAGTTTGGAAAGGTAAGGAGGAACCAGCAAGAGAGACCAAGGAGCAACAAGTGAAGTGGAAGAAAAGACAAGGGAGTGGGATGAATCTTCATGCATGTGACTTTTTCCAAATATTTATTGGGTATTTTGTATAAATAAAGGCAGAAGCTTTGTCTTTCTTGTTTGCCACTGAATCTCTTGTGCTTAGCAGAGTAGCTGGTACAAACTAAGTATTCAATTATCTGCTGAATCAGTAACATCAGAGGGTGTAAACATCTTTATGGTTTGATACATTGTATTCAGATTGCATTCCAAAAGGGTTATACTAATATACCAGTTTACATGGGGATAAGTAATGTACCTTTTACCATAGGCTTGCTCACAATAAAAAACAAACAAAAACAAACAAACAAACAAAAAACAAATGAAAAAACACATTAATTCAAAAGACTAAAATGGCAACTCACTATCGTGTAAAATTCTTCGGATTTCTAATGATGCTGAACTATTTATAATTATCTATGTTCCTTACAAGATATACTTCCTTTGATGTGAAGTACCCATGTTCATTGTGAATGGAGTTTTTTCTCATTTCATCTGAGTACTTTTCACACTTACTATAAATATTTTATTTCTTTCTTTGGGGATTTATTTTAGAATATCCATAATTTATGCAGTTATTCTCAACTTTCTATTAAATTTCAAAATGTAAAATTTTCTTATATGGAAAACGTATTTTACTATCATTCCAAATAATGTCCAGAATTCTTACTTCTACAATGGCAGTGTTATGGGTTGAACTGTGTTCCCCCAAAAGATATGATGAAGTCCCACAACCTAGTACCTATAATTGTGACCTTATTTGGAATATAGTCTTTGCAGATGTAATGAAATTAGGATGAGGTCATTAAAATGGGTCCAAATCCAGTATGACATGACCAGTGTCTTTTTAAGAAGAGGAGAAGAAATAAAGAAACATTTCATGACAAGACAGCCATATGACAATGGAGGCAAAGATTGAAGTGATGCATCTACAAATCAGGAGATGCCAAGGATTGCCAGCAAATGCCAGAAGCTAGAAGCAGCAAGGAAGGATTCTCTTCTCCAAGTTTCAGAGTCAACATGGCCCTGCCAACATCTTGATTTTGGATTTCTGGCCTTCAGAACTGTGGGACAATACATTTTTGCTCTTTTAAGCTACTCAGTTTGTGGTGCTTTGTTATGGCAGTATTAAGAAAATAGACAGTGTAATGACATCTCCACCACAGAACAACAAGAAAAATAAGAAATATCAATAAACTTCAATAAAGCCAGGAAATACATGAAGCTGAAGCTTTAATTCATGAAGGTAGATTATAATGTATATGGAGACAGATGGAGGAAGATGAAACCCAAATGTCTGCAGAGAGTAATACTGACAAACAGCAGCAAATCTGCCCCCACAGAACCAAATAAGGATTCAGGAGCTAAAGGCATTTGGTACAAAGGAAGGCAAGGGCATGAAAACAGAAGGCTTAAAGGTTAAGTCTGGATAAGGGGCAGTTAGAACCCCATTCTCCTCTCCCCTACCTAGTAAGGTCAGGCAATGACCTCATTCCCACCTCTGTAGGAGATTGGCAGTTTTATTCTCTGGAGAATCTAAACCCCAGACTTGGGATACTAGTCTGAGCTGAAAACACAGATATCCATACTACATGGCGAGACTGCCGCAGGCAGAAGATTCAAAGATCCTTCTTTAGAGAAACTAAACATTCCTAAAGAAAATGCCTATAGATTCTAACATTTGGGGATTTCCTAAGTAAAAAGTTATCATTCCATCACTCTACAGTGAAACCCACAAGTCAATAAGTGCCCATGGATATAGATATAGCACTTCCCATCAGTTTCCCCCTCATTCGAAAATATGAACAGAAATACTACCAGACAAGAAAGGAAAGCCTCCAATATGAAAGACAAGAGACTACAACTAATACAAGAAAGAAGGTCAGAAAAGAGACACCAGAAACAAAACTTTTTTTTTCAAAAATACTATAATTACCCATCATCTCAAATATTCATCATTTCTTTGTGGTGAGAACATTTAAAATCTTCTCTTTTATCTATTCAGAAATATGTATTAGTATTAACTATAGTCACTGAAACTTTGCATCCATTGACCAAAGTCTCCCCCCTTTCCCGGTACAACCCTGTCCAGCCACTGGATATGAGACTTAGATGATTTGATCATTCCACAATGTACACATGTATCAAAACATCAGATTGTACCCTATAAACATATACAATTATCTGTCAATTAAAAATAAAATTTAAAAATACTATATTATCCTAAGAGAGATAGGAGAAGACAGTGCATCCATGAAATTAGAATAGGATGCTATTAAAAAAAGGCATGATCAGAGGGAACTGAGAATTCTTAGAAATTCAAAATTATGACAGATGAAAAAAATAAGTAGAAAAGCTCAAAGATAAAGTGAGGAAATCTTCCAGAAAACAGAACAAGAAGACAAAGAGATGGACAAGAAGTGATAAAAGACAAGAAAATTGGAGGACCAATCTAGGATGTATGAGAATAAGAAAAAGGAGCTCTACAAAAGGAGTCAGAGAATATGCTGGGGGAAAAATTATTACCAAAGCAATAGGAAACATTTTCTGGAAATCAAATACTCGAATCTCTAAATTTAAAGGGCTCATTAAGTAGATGGCAAAATGAAAAAAAAAAAAAAACCCACATCAAAGCAGTTCACTGTGAAGCTGTAGATTATTAAGAATAAAGAGAATGCCTTAAAAGTTTCTTCAACATATTGTGGCAGAGCCTGCTGCTTTCCAGTACACTTTTCCCTTTTTCCTTTTAGTAACAGGATCCCACGAATTTTGGCAAGGCAAATGGCTTCTGAGTTAGAGACATTTCTTAGCCTCCTTTGTAGCTAAGAAGGTCTGCATGACTAAGTTTTAGGAAGACAGCAAAAGTGATATATGCAACTCCCAGATCTTGTCTTTTTTTCTTTTTTTGAGACGGAGTCTCTCTGTCGCCCCAGGCTGGAGTGCAATGACACGATCTTTGATCACTGAAACCTCCACCTCCCTGGTTCAAGCAATTATCCTGTCTCAGCCTCCTGAGTAGCTGGGACTACAGGTGCATGCCACTATGCCCAGCTAATTTTTGTATTTTTAGTAGAGATGGCATTTCACCATGTTGGTCAGGCTGGTCTCGAACTCCTGACCTCAGGTGATCTGTCTGCCTCGGCCTCCCAAAGTGCTGGGATTACAGGTGTGAGCCACCGCACCTGGCCCAGATCATGTTTTTATAACAAAGCTCCTTGCCCTCAATCGTCCTGCTAGCCAAAAAATGGTAACAACTACAGCAGGTACTCAAGACAGAGATGGAAGTCATATCTTGAGAATTCTGAATTGCCCTGCTTAGCTGGAAAACCCAGTGGAGCAGAGTTTCCTACTTGGTCTGGCTATTGTGAGGAATAAACTTCTATTTCATTTAAGGCTCTGTATATTTGGGTCCCTTTGCTACTGTAGGTATGCTCTAGGTATTAAAAAGATTGAAACTGTAGGGTCATTGAGAGAAAGATATTTGTCTATTTCATTCACTGCTATCACTCTCACACCTAGAATAGTGCCTGCACATATCAGGCGTTTAAAAATTATGTACTGAGTGAATACATGAATAGTATTAGACTTTTCAGCAGGAATTATGAAAGGTAGAAGACTGTGGAGGAAAATGCCTTCAAGATTCTGAGTCAAATTGCTTTTTACATTCTATATCCAGCTAAACTATTAACAATTAAATGTATAATAGGCTTCCACAAAAGAAAACAAACAAAAAAAGGTGTACGGGTTTCCATATACACAATAACTTAAAAAGTTTAGGTCTTATGTGTTATCTTTTCTCACGTAGCTACTAAAGGAGCTACTCCTATCAAAATCAGGGAGCATATCAAGAAAGAAGATGAGGAATCAAAAAACAAGGATCCAACACAGGAGGGAGGCAAAGGGAACTTCTACGATGACAGTGAAAGAAAGTTCTAGGATGACAGCAGGGTCAACACCTGAGTAGCAACCAGTCCAAACTGGAGCAGGGGGACAAAAAGGCACCAGGACGGAAGATTCCAGGAAAGAAAGAAGGGAAAGGGAAAAGCAAAGAAAAGAAAAGAAAAGGGAGAACCCTGTTAGGTTCCCTGATTGGCCTGATTTTATGGAAAACTGCTATGAAAGGGCGTGGAAAGGTGCTAAACAAACATACAAACAAACCTAAACAAACACACAAACAAACCTAAACATTGAGGCAATTATTAACTCCAGGAAACAGAGCTATACAAGAAAGGAAGCATAGCAGTGAATACTTGCCCCAAATGTGGTAAGTATAGACAGGGTAGAGCATGAAATTCTCATCCACCATAACAGGAGATCAGTAAACATTGTCTAAAATTAATGACTCAAGAGAGAATATAAAAACATCATTTAGAAATGTGGAAGTGTCCTTGGAGAAAAGGAGTGGGGAGACTTGAGGTAGAGAACCATTGTTAATTTCATTTTAAGTGTTTCAGCGTTATTTCCCTTTTAAATTCTATTAATATGTCACTTTGATAAAAATTTTTTTTGGTAGGGAGGACAGGGTCTTGCTATGTTGCCCAGGCTAGTCTTGAATTGCTATTTTGCCCTGGCCTCAAGTGATCCTTCCTCAGCCTCCCAAAGTGCTGGGATTACAGGTATGAGCCACTACATGGCCAGATAAAAATTTTTTAAACTAAAATTAAATATAAAATTAAACATTTAAAAGACTAACCTTATTTTTCTCATAAGATAGGGAACTTTGCTACTATGTATTTTACTATGCTCGGAGCAGATGTTCTCCAGATTGGGAGAATTATACCCAAAGGTGCTGTGTTCATTTTTGGGTTTTGTTTTAAACAAATGACCACAGAGAGAAAGTTAACAGCATTAAAAGTTGTAAATTATGAAATAATTAGGAATGATAGACTAGTACTAAAAATACTGCTTTAATTAAATAAGATGATGTAAAAAAAATAAGTGATTGAGGATATCCTGGGAACCTGATAAACATTTAGTATATTATTCCCAGGGAAAAATGATTTGAAAAGGTTAAGGAAGAAAGACAACTGACATGAAATTACCATTCCTTCTATGCCAAGCAGTATATTAGGTGTTCTTTTTTGTTTTGAGATGGAGTCTCACTCCGTTGCCCAGGTTGGAGTGCAGTGGCCTGATCTCGGCTCACCACAACCTCCGCCTCCTGGGTTCAAGCAATTCTCCTGCCTCAGCCTCCCAAGTAGCTGGGACTACAGGTGTGAGCCACCATACCCAGCTAATTTTTGTAATTTTTTAGTAGAGATGGGGTTTCACTATGTTGGCCAGGCTGGTCTTGAACTCCTGACCTCATGATCTGCCTGACTTGGCCTCCCAAAGTGCTGGGACTACAGACGTGAGCCACCGCGCCGGGCTAGGTGTTCTATATAGTTATTTCATTTGATCCTTAACAAGTGTGGGGAAGGTAAGTAATTTCTTTAAGGCCATACAGCCCTTAGAACAGATCATAAAAAATGATGAAAATAAACTATAGTGAAGCTTAAGTAGTACACAGTTGTAAGCAAATAATTACATTTATTTATAACTTTTCTTATTCTTTAATATTGCCAAAACCCAAAAGAAATATAAATTTAATCAACCAGATTATTATCTTTACAGTCATTTCATTAGAATGAACTTAAATCTTACTTACTTGAATGTGGCAAAAGCACTGGAGCAAAGATGCTATTGCTGCCTATTGGAATAAGAAAAATTAATTTGAAAAGGAAGGTAACATGTATGGTATTATTTTTTAATTGTTTCCATAAATAATATGTAATACACAGTGCAGAATTTTATCATAATCTTTTGCCATGTTAGTTTTTAAAAGAATTAACCCAGAACCTTCTGTACCTAGAATGGTTTTTCTTCTTAGCAATAAGTGGTTCCCCCTCTATCTCTATTTGTTTTCTTACTCACCATCTATTGCTCCTTTTAGACTGGTAGTGGGACCCAAAAGGTACTGAATAAATCTTTGTTGAATGAATAAATTAGAAGATAATATGCATCAACAATGCACAAATTATGCTTTACTTCTTGTATTAATCACTATTTTCACATTTAGATGTAGCTTTTCACACTAACATAGTTTGCAAAAGATTCTATAGTTCCCTAATTAAAATGATAAGAATTATCTGAGACACAGGATTCCTTTTTTACCAAATGGTTTACATCAAATACTTACCACAGGAGCTGTTGAGATCCACATCTAAAAATACACTAAGGTCTGAAGAAGCAGATACTGGTGGAGTAGATGGTGTATTTGGAGAAGTTGGTGCTGACACCGTTGATTCCAGCTCAGTTTCAGCAATCCGACTAAAGCTTATTTTACATGGTTCTCTTTCTAATGGTGTTGGGTGACCTCGTAAAGTACCTGAGGTAGAGCCATGTCGGCCTGTGTTAGGCCTTATTCCAGGAGATTTCAAGGAGAAAGTTGATTTTCTAGGCTGGGAAAAGCAAACATGATTAATGTCACAAATTTGCATAGACAGCACTTTGTTTCTGTGACTTAGAGCTACCTTATTAGTCTTATTAGTTCTTAAGCATATAGTTCTTAAGCGTGCAGTCCTTCAGTCTGCAATGACAGCCTGTATCATTCTAGTAGAATCTTCTGGATTTGACTGACTTAATTTTAAAATGAATTTGAATATAAGTAAGTCTCTTTTCAGCGCTGCAGAAAAAAAATTCTTGAAAATTTATGTGAAAATCACATTTTGCTCCTAAAACATACGAACCTAAACTTCTCTTTGAAAATACCTATATAAATTTTACAAACATTTACTGGGAACATAATTTATGAAACATGTTACATGCTTCAGAAAAAAAAAGATAATTTTTTTCCTCTTCCTATACTAAATGATCAACCTCTACATTGGTGCTTTAATAATCTTTGGAGAAAATTCCTATCATTATCCCCCACCCTCACCTCTGTCCCATTTTTCAAGTTCTGGCAGGAGCAATCGAATAAAAAACACCGAACTCAGATCAGAAAACTTGAGTTAAGATCTCAACTGTGCCAATATCTAGCTTTGCAGCCTTGAAAAACTTATTTAACCCCTTGGAATCTCACCATTTTCCTTTGTAAAATGAGAGTAAGATCTACGACGGGTTTTCAAAAACTGCATGGCAAATGTCTATTATGAAATAACTATGTATGACTTTCATTTTTTTCCATCAAAAAATAAACTCATACTAACTTATTATAACATGTCTGAACAGTACCTAGTTTGAGATACTAAGAAGGATAACACATCAGTTTGTAAAGAATCCCTATCAGAGGAACATGAATTCTGCCAAAATTGAAGCAAGAACAAATATCAAATTTATGATGATGCTTGGGTGCAAGAATGGTGAAATCACTAATATTTTATGAAAAGTTTATGGGGACAATGCCCCAAAGAAATCAGCCGTTTACAAATTGATAACTTATTTTAACAAGGGATGAGATGATATGGAAGATAAAGCCAATGGTGGCAGATCATCGACATCAATTTCTGAGGAAAAAATTAATCTAATTCCTGCTCTAATTGAAGAGGACTGATGATGAACAACAGAAACAATAGCCAACACCACAGATATCTCAACTGGTTCAGCTTACACAATTCTGACTGAAAAATTAAAGTTGAGCAAACTTTCCACTAGATGGATGGCAAAACCATTGCACCCAGATCAGCTGCAGACAAGAGCAGAGCTTTCAACAGAAATGTTAAATAAGTGGGATCAAGACCCTGAAGCATTTCTTTGAAAAACTGTTAACAGGAAATGAAACATTGCTTCCCAGTATCATCCTGAAGACAAAGCACAATCCAAGCAATGGCTACCAAGAGATGGAAGTGGTCCAGTCAAAGCAAAACCAAATCAGTCAAGAGCAAAGGTTGGCCAAGCACCGTGGCTCATGCCTATAATCCTAGCACCTTGGGAGGCTGAGGCAGGAGGATCATTTAAGGCCAGGGGTTTGAGACCAGCCTGGGCAATACAGCAAGACTCTGTCTCCATTTTTTTTTTTTTTTTTTTAAAAAGGCCAGGCATGGTGGCTTACACCTCTAATCCCATCACTTTGGGAGGTCAAGGCAGGTGGATCACTTGAGGTCAGGAGTTCAAGACATGCCTGGCCAACATGGTGAAACCTCATCTCTACTAAAAATACAAAAATTAGCCACGCATGGTGGCACACACATGTTATCCCAGTTACTTGGGAGGCCGAGGCAGTAGAATTGTTTGAACCTGGGAGGTGGAGGTGACAGTGAGTCGAGATTGCACCACTGTAGTCCAGCCTGGGCGACAGAGCGAGACTCTGTCTCAAGAAAACAAAATAAAAACAAGAACAAAAACAAAACAAAGGTCATGGCAACAGTTTTTTAGGACGCTCAAGGCATTTTTCTTGTTGACTTTGTAGAGGGTCAAAGAACAATAACATCTGCTTACTATGGGACTCTTTTGAGAAAGCTAGCCAAAGCTTTTGCAGAAAAACAACCAGGAGAGCTTCACCAAAGAGACCTTCTCCACCACAACAACGATCCTGCTCATCCCTTTCATTAAACCAGGGCAATTCTTTGAGAGTTTTGATGGGAGATCATTAGGCATCCACTTACAATCTTGACTTGGCTCCTTCTGACTTTTTTGTGTTTCCTAATTATAAAAAAAAATTAAAGGGCAACCGTTTTTCTTCAGTTAATAATGTAAAAGAGACTGCATTGACATGGTTAAATTCCCCGGATCTTTAGCTTTTTGGGGATGGACAAAATGGTTGGTATTAGCACTTACAAAAGTGTCCTGAACTTGATGAAGCTTATGTTGGAAAATAAACTTTATATTTTTATGTTTATTTTTTAATTCCATCAAAAAATTTATCTTTTCATTCCATGTTTCCATGAACTTTTTTTCATTCTTTTCTTTTTTTTTTTATATGGGGTCTCACTCTGTCACCCAGGTTGGAGTGAAGTGGAGTGATCTTGGCTCACTGCAACCTCCGCCCCACAGGCGTGCACCACCATGCCTGGCAAAATTTTTTGTATTTTTGGTAGAGACAGGGATTACAGGCGTGAGCCACCACGCCCGGCCTCTATGAACTTTTTGAAGTCCCCTCATATATCACACAATTGTGAAGATGAGGTCTCATGAAACTACCTGACTTCTTGCTTCATTCAAAGTTGGTTTGTGTTTTTATTTCCTTCTATATCTTGCTTCACTTTTAGCTACTTAGAATTTGTCTTCTACTAATTCTGTTGCCACTGCAAACTCCTGCAGTAACTGGAAACAGCATCAAATTCTAGTGACAGAGGTGGGTTCCAGAGGCAACTATGGACCATGGAGCCCAAATGGCAGAAGTCATATCAAGTCACAAGAACCAAAATATATTTGCTTACTCCTTCCCAGGTCTTTTCATTTTTTTTTTTTTTTTTTATGAGACGGAGTCTGGCTCTGTTGCCCAGGCTGGAGTGCAGTGGCCGGATCTCAGCTCACTGCAAGCCCCGCCTCCCGGGTTCACGCCATTCTCCTGCCTCAGCCTCCTGAGTAGCTGGGAGTACAGGTGCCCGCCACCTCGCCCGGCTAATTTTTTTTGTATTTTAGTAGAGATGGGGTTTCACCGCGTTAGCCAGGATGGTCTCGATCTCCTGAACTCGTGATCCGCCCGTCTCGGCCTCCCAAAGTGCTGGGATTACAGGCTTGAGCCACCGCGCCCGGCCTCTTTTCATTTTTTTTGTTCCATTCAGCTACCTATTAAGTTCTCACTTTCTCACACCTTTTTGTATTATTTTAGGAGAGATCAAAAGTAGACACATAAATAAGCAGTACTAAGATAAGGCATAAACCAGATTTTATCAAAAGGCTGACATTTCCCCCACAGTATATGTAATTTTACAAATAGTATATTACTGCAAACAAAACACCTATGAACAGTCATTCAATTACATTTTTAAGATAACAGGTTGTTAAACATTGAAAATAATATTTTTAAAAACAGAACACTTGCTTCCAAAATTATAAAAGACTTACAAATCGAGGTGGCTGTTTGCAGTTTCGAGGTTCAATTTCTAGTGACTTGTTGAACAAATAATCTGTAAACTCTTTTTCAGACGCATTTCCCATGGGGTTAAGGTTTTCAAAGAATCTCTGAAATTAAATATCACAAGTGCATATATAATAAGTATATATTTTAGATCTTATTAAAATAAGATCTCATTAAAATTTTTTGCTGAAAATTACTTCATTATTTAATGCTAAAAAAGTAACACATTAAGAGATCACAATATCTGAAAAGTTCACAAATGTTGCTTATTCCAATCTCTTTACTTCTGAATAAGATTATATAATTTCTGTGGAAGTTATATTCTAGTCTTAAAGTTCTATTAAGAATATGAGTTTTCATTTATTATCATTTTAATGGCTCAGTAGTAGCACTACTTATTCCTTAGGAAACTTTATTCCTACTCATTGTAACAAATGATCATCACCAGAAAGCTACCAAAAGTGTTTAGAACAAAATTATGGTTATAATCCACAATGAAGTTTTGATAATCAGAAAAAAGTGGAGATAAATTAGATTAAGGTCTGTTAATCCAATTTATAGATCATTCTTGATCATTTATAATTTATCTGGAAATTTCTTTTACTTTAAAAGTAGTCATTTAAATTACTTTAAAAGTAATTTCAAGAATGATTATAGGCCGGGCATGGTGGCTCACGCCTGTAATCCCACCACTTTGGGAGGCCAAAGTGAGTGGATCACCTGAGGTCGGGAGTTCGAGACCAGCCTGACCAACAGGGAGAAACCCCATCTCTACTAAAAATACAAAATTAGCCTGGCGTGGTAGTGCATGGCTGTAATCCCAGCTACTCAGGAGGCTGAGACAGGAAAATCGCTCGAACCCAGGAGGCAGAGGTTGAGGTGAGCCAAGATCATGCCATTGTACTCCAGCCTGGGCAACAAGAGCGAGACTCTATCTCAAAAACAAAAAAGAAAAAGAATGATTATAAACTTAAACCTATCTGTGCTAACTTCTAGTATAAAAAATGTTTTTATCTGAGCCAAGTCATGTGGCTTACACCTGTAATCCTAGCAGTTTGGGAGGCTGAGGCCGGGGGACTGCTTAAGCCTAGGAATTTGAGACCAGCCTGGGCAATATAGTGAGACCTCTTCTCTTAAAAAAAATCTAATACATAAAATTTTAAAAATTCTGCCTTTATCAAAAAATATTTTAAGCTTAAATTTAAGTTTTAACGTAGAAAATTTAGGTGATTTAGCACTGCCAAAAAAGGAGAAAAAAAGAAAAAGAAACAGTAATCTTACAAACCAGAAATATCATTGTTTACATTTAAATATTAGACTATCTTCCAGTGATTTTACTGTGCATGTATATGCATGTATATATGTATTTATAATTATTAATATATATAATTTATATATATTTTCCTGAAAAACTGGAATATCAATTTTAATCTTTCTGAAGTTTATATTCAATTAACTTTTTTCCATGTGGTTTGCTTTTTTTTTTTTGAGTCTCACTCAGCCTCCCGAGTAGCTGGGATTATAGGTGTGCGCCACTATGCCCAGCTACTTTTGTATTTTTAGTAGAGATGGGGTTTCACTATGTTAGCCAGGCTGCCCTTGAACTCCCGACCTCAGATGATCTACCTGCCTTGGCCTCCCAAAGTGCTGGGATTACAGGTATGAGCCACCGCACCCAGCCAGTTTGCTTATTTTACAAAATACAAATTTTAACTCTATAGTATTTAATCAGATGGCTATTTCGGAATTTAATAATCTCCATATAACTAGTTATCCATACAGGTACTTTCTAATTTTTTGCTATATACCAATTATTTTTATTAACTCCTGTATATAAATTTTTCTGCACTTTTTTTATTATTTCCTTAGAAATACTCCTTAGCAGAAAATTACTGGATTTAGCTTTATTTAATTTTGAAGTGGTTTAGAACCATATATTAAAACGGTACCGGGTTTTAGCTTTAGCAGTAGGCGAAATGAGCTTTAAAATTTCTAGTATAAAATTATTCTCATTTTTCAGGCATTCTGCCAATTTCAAGAAAATTATATTACTCCTTTAACAATACTGAAACAATGTGTTCTTATGTTCAGGTTAGCTAAATTAAATCATATTAGCCAATAGTAATTAAAGGATTTCAGAAAGTCATAACAGCAGTATTCTTGATATTCTCATCCTTTGCTCTATTTTTAAATATTATTTATTTAAGTATGATTTGAAAAGTGAATAGCTACTTTGTCTACATTTTAAACTTATTTTGACTCAATCATATAGAAGACATTTCCTCCCAAAAATGCTTTAAATGGTGGCAGGAACCCTAGACCACACCAGAAACACCAATTAGCAGGTATGTTTCTGAGATATGAATACTAAAAGTACTATTTCAAGTATACCGAATTAAAGTGTAACATTATTCCTGTGGGGGCCATATTTCCTTAGCCCTCTGAAGCCCCACATCACAGAGGGCGGGTACAATGGTGAGAGGGGACGAAATAGGTCACCATCAGTAGGTTCCCGTCTTTTTTTTTTTTTTTAAGAGCAAGTATCTTTTTTTTTTTTTTTTTTTTTTAAGAGCAAGTATCTTTTTTTTTTTTTTTTTTTGAGATGGAGTCTCACTCTGTTGTCTAGGCTGGAGTGCAGTGGCACTATCTCAGTTCTCTGCAACATTTGCCTCCTGGGTCCAAGCGATCCTCCCACCTCAGCCTCCCGAGTAGCTGGGATTACAAGCACGTGCCACTACACCCAGAAAATTTTTGTATTTTTAGTGGAGACAGAGTTTCACCATGTGGGCCAGGCTGGTCTCGAACTCCTGACCTCAGGTGATTCGCCCACCTTAGCCTCTCAAAGTGCTGGATTTATAGGCACTAGCCACTGTGCCCAACCTATCATTTTTATAAATGGTATGCTTTAGGTGGTCTTTTTTTAGGACTTTAGGGTACTTTGTTTTGAACTGGGAACAAAGAAGTTACTATCTTATAATCTAGGAGGATGGAAGTAATGGTGGATATTTTCACTCAATATGCCCAATCTGCATGCAGACTATGCCTAAAAAGTTTAGCACAATTTTAAATGTGACAGGTGAACTTATTCCGGTTAATAGTTATAATGTGCTCCCAATTTCAAGTAAGTATAATATAATAACATTCATTTAACATAAACATAATATCATAGTTTAATTTACAAGGTTATTTCATATTTTGTAATACTACAGAATATTACACACTACTGCTCAAAACAGAACATCAATTGAAAGGATGTGAGAAAAATCATCTTCTGCTAGGCATACATATACCACTTTCCTGACCCTTTTCCTATTTAAACAGTGTTCTTATGAAGAAATGAATTATATATTATTTTGCTACATGTAAAATATCTAAAATGGCTATCAATCAAATCTAGCAGTGATTTTTCTTTTTACTGCATGGACATCATTCTACTTTGTCATTCACTTTTTATGGTGTAGTTTGAACCAACTACAAAAAGAAGCAATACTTTCAAAAGAAAGTACTTAGTAATAATATTAACAACTGCAGATAGTGTAGAATGTCTAATGTTTAACCTGCTATCTACCGATTTTTTTCTATTATTTTCATAGCAAGACAAACAGCATAACATGTAATTATGATATTTCTTATAGGTCCCACAAGATCTAAAATGTTTTTTTAAATTTTTAAATTTTTAATTTTCATGGGCATATGGTAGATGTATATATTTGTAGGGTGTATGCGATGTTTTGATACAGGCACGTAATGTAGAATAATCACATCATGGAGAATGAAGTATCCATTCCCTCAAGCATTTATCCTTTGTATTATGAACAATCCAATTATACTCTTATAGTTATTATTTTTTATTTTATTTATTTATTTTGAAACGGAGTCTCCCTCTGTCACCCAGGCTGGAGGCCAGTGGCATGATCTCGGCTCACTGCAGCCTCCACCTCCTGGGTTCAAATGATTCTCCTGCCTCAGTCTCCCAAGTAGCTGGGATTACAGGCACCTGCCACCATGCCTGGCTAATTTTTGTATTTTTAGTAGAGACGGGGTTTCACCATGTTGGTCAGGCTGGTCTCAAACTCTTGACCTCAAGTGGTCCTCCCACCTCAGCCTCCCAAAGTGCTGGGATTACAGGCGTGAGCCACCACGCCCAGCCGATACTCTTATAGTTATTACTATTATTATTTTGAGACAGAGTCTTACTCTGTCACCCAGGCTGGAGTGCAGTGGCGCTATATCGGCTCACTGCAACCTACCCCTCCCAGGCTCAGCTGATTCTCCCACCCCAGACTCCTGAGTAGCTAGGACTGCAGGCACCCAGCACCATGCCCAGCCAATTTTTTTGGGTATTTTTAGTAGAGACGGGGTTTCACTATGCTGCCCAGGCTGGTCTCCAACTCCTGATCTCAAGCGATCTGCCCGACTCAGCCTCCCAATGTGCTGGGATTACAGGTGTGAGCCATGGTGCGTGGCCTCGTATAGTTACTTTTAAACCTGCAATTAAGTTATTATTGACTATAATCACTGTGTTGTGCGATCCAATAGTATGTCTTATTCATTCTATTTTTTTTTTTTTTCTGGTACCCATTAACATGTTCTCTTTTAAAGATAAGCAAAGAAAATATTTACCCTCATATCTGGTTCTATCCGTAAACAGTAAGGCTGATTCTGATACTGCTGAATTTCTCCAGTAATTTCAGCTACTTTCCTCCTCTTACTGAAATTGATTAAATCTTTCCCTTTCTTTTTTAAAAAATCATTATTCCCTTCTTCAGTCTTCAGAATATTTGTTAAATATATTCCTAGTAAAAAAAAAAAGAATTTAAAGAAAAGTTATTTTAAATTTTATTTAATCAATTATTTGGGGAAAAAACTGATCTAGTAAAGTTGAAAGACATCATATACTATTCAGCAACTCTACTACTAAAATGTTACGTCTCTGATAAACAATCATTAACTCTCCATAAAGAATTTTTTAAAGAGAAATAATTTAAAATAAAAAGAAAACAAAAGCTACTGACTTATACAAACAGAAAGGTGGCTAATCTAAGAAATGGCAAATTAAGATTTTCTAAACCCTAATTTCACCAAGCGCAAGTTATGTTAAATCTATTCTAACCAAATGTTTTAATATTTGATTATAAATATTTAATGCCAAGTATCTTAAGTGATTATTAATCAATAAATTAATTTTAAGTCAAATTTGGTTAATAAGTCTATAGGCTTATAAACTAATTATGTTTTTTCAGAGCCTGTAATTTAGACAGAAAAATAATTACTTCTCACTCATGAACAATAAAAAAGTTTTTAGTCCCTTTTTCATGCATAATTGCTGATTCATTTAAATTGGTGGTTCTCAACCCGTCCCCCAGGGGATATTTAGGAATGTCTAGAGACATTTTTGGTTACAACTCCGGGGGCTATTGGAGTGTAGTGAATAGAGGCCAGGATGCTGCTACAGATTCTACCATGCACAAGACAGCCCATCACAACAAATAATTATTTGGCCCAAAATACCAAAATTGTTGAAATTGATAAAATTTGATTTAAATTATTCAATTTTAATCATACACAACAATATTTTAAATTTAAAAATCACATAAAAGCTTTTAATAAATTAAAGAGAAAGTAAATGCTGTAGATGTGACATAGTTATGATAAAAATAACAGTTACCCTTTAATGAGTGTGTCCTATGTGCTAGACTTATTAGGTAGTACAGATAAAATATTTTTAATCCTTATTTGTAACAACCCTATGAGATATTATAGTCTTCATTTTATAGATAATAGAGAGTTTTATTATTTATCAATACGGAGAGCTAATAAAAGTAGATGATCTCAGATATAGAATAATGTGCCTCTGAAGACTATCACACACTATCACACGCTAACCCTCAAATATACCCATATTTAGTAACTTACCAAAAAAAGGCACACAAGGTGGATTGATTGACTTAAGTTTTACTAGGTATTTTTTAAAGTGATCTTGACTTAATTCCACAGCTTCATCCAAAATTTTCCTTTTTCTTTCCTGCAGTGCCTTAAAGTATATATAAATTGAGTATAAATTGTTTGCAATTCAATCGTATTTTATAAATGCAAACCTTTAAATTTTATAAAATTTTGCAAATTATCTGGAAAACAATTTTTTAAATTAAGAGATGAGTGGTATTCCTTTGTACACTTACCTGAAGTGATTTCTCCTCTCTTTATCTATAAATACAAAACTCATAATTTACTCATATAAATTAGAAGATTAAGCAATAAAAAAAATTCTACATCATGCCTTGTGAGTTATTTTGACTAGCCAGGGTTTCAAGTCATAGCTGTAGAAGAGGAAAATTATAACCCCTGAACATTCAAATATTTTTCCACTGAAATATCTTTTGGGGCTAAGGGTTGGGGTTTTGGTAAGGAGAAGACAACTATCGGAAGGCAAGAAGACTTGAACAAAAATTTAGTAAATGAAGTAAACTAGAATTTCTTTTATACTTCATTACTAGATCTTCTTATTGAAAATTAATTTTTACTTCAGAAAGAATACACACACACACGTAAACCCCAAAGCAAACATTATGCTTGATGGAGAACCATTCAGTCAATTTCTTTTAAATCAAGGAAAAAGCCAAGGGGACAACATTGGAGCTTTTATTCAATACTATACAGAAGTCCTAGCTAGCATGGACAAGAAAAAGAAATAAAGAGCTAGGGATTGGAAAGAAAAAAATCTGTCACTATTCACAGAGGATATGACTTCCCATGAAGAAACTCCAATGAATCTACATATAGAATGTTAATGAGAGAATCAGCAATGTTGCTATATATAAAACCAATAGACAAAAACCAACTACATTTCTAGATATCATCAATAAAGAAATCGTGATTTAAAAAAATATTCTGGCCAAGTGCGGTGGCTCACACCTGTAATCCCAGCACTTTAGAGAGGCTGGGGTGGGAGAAACGTTTGAGGCCAGGAGTTCAAAACCAGTCTGTGCAACATAGCAATGCCCAATCTCCACCTAATATTTTAAAAATTAGCTGAGCAGGGTGGCACGTGCCTATAGTCCCAAATACTCAGGAGACTAAGTCCCAAATACTCAGGAGGATTGCTTGAGCCTGGGAATAGAAGGCTGCAGTAAGCTATGACCATGCCACTGTATTCCACACTGGGTGACAGAGCATGACCCTATCTCTAAGGTTACTAAAAACAAAGTAATTCTAATCTAAAACTAGCAAAAGAGGTGTGCGATTTCTATCAAAACAAAAAAATCCCCGCAAAACTTTATTAACTGAGTAAATAAATGAAGAGATAAACGATGTTCATAGTTGAAAAGACTTTTTACTATAACAATGTCAGTTCTTCACTAATCTTAATTGGATTTAGAGATCCAGTGCAACTCCTATCAAAATGCCAATTTTAAAAAATGAAGCTTAAATTGATTCTAAAATTTACATAGGAGAATAAAGGGCCAAGAATAGGTTCCTCCTGAAAAACAGTAAGATTGGCGAGGATTTGCCCTACTCTTCTCTATCAAGGACTACTATAAAGTTATGATAGTTTAGACAAGTGGCACTGGCACAAGAGTAATCAAATAGATCAAAGGAACAGAATGGAGAGACCAACAAAATGCCCACATATATAGGCATTCAATTTATGACACATTTATTAAATGGATTAATATTTCTTTTTTTTTTTTTTTTTTTGAGATGGAGTCTTGCTCTGCCGCACAGTCTGGAGTGCAGTGGTGCGATCTCAGCTCACTGGAACCTCTGCCTCCGGGTTCAAGCGATTCTCCTGCCTCAGCCTCCCAATTAGCTGGGATTACAGGTGCATGCCACCACGCCTGGGTAATTTTTATATTTTTAGTAGAGTTGGGGTTTCATCATGTCGGCCAGGCTGGTCTCAAACTCCTGGCCTCATGTAATCCACCCACTTCAGCCTCCCAAAGTGTTGGGATTACAGGCATGAGCCACTGCACCTGGCCTATTTCATAATATTTGACTAAGTATTAATACCTTTAATATATAAAGTTCATACAAATCAATAAAATGCAAACATCCAAACAGAAAAATATACATATAAAGCAGTTTTTCCTCTATTCCCCTCTAATCACAAGCCACTAAAAATAAATAAATAAATAAATAAATAAATAAATAAATAAATAAATAACGTTAAAAGAGGAGTATGTATCCTCCCACATTATTCTCAATACTTATCCAATTCCATTTAGAGGTTTGGGGTTTGCTCTGCTTTGTTATACTAAAATGGAATAATGTTATAGTCATTCTGAAGCTTTCCCCCACTAAAATATCACAAATGTTCTTCCACAATACACATATATCCCATTCACTTTGTTCTACAGCTGAACAATATTCTACAATATAGGTATAACAGGATGTATTTAATCATTCTCTTATTGATAGACATTCAGGTTGTTTCCTGTTTCTGCTACTACAACTAATGCTGCAGTAACTGTATCTTTGTACACATAACTTTATATTCTGGTACATTTATTTCTTTACAATTCTGGGTCCTCAGAGTATGCATATTTTTAATTTTAATATATATTGTTAGATTGCTTTCCAGAAAGACTGTAAAAACGCACATTCCCAAAGGCAGTATTTACATGGCTGAGTTTCTAACTTGGTATCCTTTAGTTAAAAAAAGTCTTTCCAGGTGAAAAAGCAAAGGAAGAAACCATAAATGAAGAGACTGATACATGCAACAAAATAAAAATGATAAAACTTCCTTATGTCAAAGCATTATACATTTTTTAAATTAAAAAAGCAGATAAAAGACAAACAGAAATGAGAAAATATGTACAGTCTAAGTTTTAATATCTTTAATATATGAAAAATTCAGATAAATGAATAAAATGCAGCTGAGCAATGCTTGTAATCCCAGCTACTTAAGAGGCTGGGACAGGACGATTCCTTGAGCCCAGGACTTCGAGACTGCAGTGGGCTATGATCATGCCACTGGCACTCCAGCCTGGGTGACAGAACAAGACCTTGTCTCTTTAGGGAAAAAAAAATAAAAAATAAAAATAAATAAATAAATAAACAAAATGCAAACACCCTCCCACCAAAATGAGAGAGGAAATGAATATACAAATCATAAAGTACTCAATAAATACATATTCAACCTCACTAGTTATTAATTAATTTATTTTGAGAACAAGTTTCACTCTGTTGCCCAGGCTGGAGTGCAGTGGGGCAATCTCTGCTCACTGCAACCTCCACCTGCCAAGCTCAAGTGATACTCCTGCCTCAGCCTCCTGAGTAGCTGGGATTACAAACAAGCACATGCCACCATGCCTGGCTAATTTTTGTAGTTTTAGTAGAGACGGGATTTCATCATGTTAGCCAGGCTGGTATCGAATTCCTGACCTCAGGTGATCTGCCCACCTCGGACTCCCAAAAACGCTGGGATTACAGGCGTGGGCCACCGTGCCCAGCAGTGGCTTAAGACTAGGCTGGGTTGGCCAGGTACAGTGGCTCAGACCTGCAATCCCAACACTTTGGGAAGCCAAAGCAGGCAGATCACCTGAGCCCAGGAGTTCAAGACCAGCCTGACCTCAGGTGATCCACTTGCCTCGGCCTCCCAAAGTGCTAGGATTACAGGTAAGCCGCTGCGCCGAGCCTCACTAGTTATTTTTTAAGACACAATTTAAAAATGCGATTTCTGCCCCCGGCAGAGGCATGTGCTACCACGTCTGGCTAATTTTTTTTTTTTTGTAAAGATGGGGTCTCCCTATGTTGCCTAGACTGGTCTTAAACTCCTGGGCTCAAGTGATCCTCCTGTCTTTGCCTCCCAAAGTATTGGGATTACAGGTGAGAGCCCCCACACCTGGCCAGAAGCTTTTAATAAAGTACATAATACCAAGGGGCATTTATCGTATCCTGCTACAAAACACCTTGGCAAAAGTTTTAAAAGTCTTAAAGTATACAAATACTCAGGCCCAGGATTTCCACCCCTAGATTATTTCTTGAAATAATCAAGCTCTTACAAAGACTTCTATATGTGAATATTCCATGATAAATTATCACAGAAAAAAATCAGAAACAATTGTCCCACAATCTACCATTGGAATAAATTATGATTTATCCATGATAGAAAACCATGAAGCCATTAAAACCTTGTTTTTGAAGATAAGCTAATACAAAAATAGAAAACTGTTTATGAGAAAAAGGCCATAAAAATCTATGTACAATATAATCTCAATTTTGTTATTAAAAATATATATGCAAAATATCTCCCTATTTTCTATATTCCTGAATTTTCAATAGTACATGTTAAACACATATTTTATAGTTAAAAAAATAAAATACTGGTTTTTTTTTTTGAGACAGAGTCTCACTCTGTAGCCCAGCCTGGAGTGTAATGGTACAATCTCAACTCACTGCAAATTCCGCCTCCTGAGTTCAAGCGATTCTCCTGTCTCAGCCTCCCGAGTAGCTGAGATAACAGGCGTGCACCACCATGCCCAGTTAATTTTTGTATTTTTAGTAGAGACGGGGTTTCACCGTGTTGTCCAGGTTGGTCTCGAACTCCTGAGCTCAGGTGATCCACCCGCCTCAGCCTCCTAAAGTGCTGGGATTACAGGTGTGAGCCACCACGCCTGGCCAAATTTAAGTTTTTGAAATAGTTCTTCCCGTATTATTTTATTATGGACTATCTAAAGGTGATTAGGACACTATTTGTATTTTTATATTTAAAATCCTTCATCATTTGAGACTATCAATCAATGTGTCATTGAATAAATCCACTTGGAACTTCATTACATTTAGGTAAGTACATTACACGGCAGTGTAAGTCTCATATTCTTTATAAAATACTGATATATTTTCTAATATAAGCCTAGGATTCACATATATCACACTCATATATTAACTAATATATCAACATATATTCTAATGTATTTATATCACTGTGTTTAAGAAGCAAGGATGAATTCATAAATAATTTAATAAAAATGATAGATGACAGATGAAATTTCTTTTATGCTAATTTTATCATCCCCAAGAAAAATGAAAATGTTAAGCCTAAAACTTACCTCAAAGGTATGGTCTAGTCTGTATACTGACACTGAATTTACTGCACTGACTATCTCCAATACGCCATTGAAATTATTCAAATCTTGAAAAACTTGCAGAATTTCTATAACTCTACTTAGTACTGCAACCCGTTCTTCAAAATTTTCTGCTTCCACAATGCATCTAACAACAACAAAAATTCATAGCTTAGAAAAGTTTCTTCACCTCATTTAGAAAACAAGATAATTATGTGTAGCCAGAATTTTAGCTTAAATATGACTTAATATTATGGCTATTAGGAAGTTGTAAGAGTAAATTAAAACTTACTTTTCAAACCAGAGGGTGAGATTTGTGGTATGGCGAATCATTTTTAATAAATTTGGAGAATTTATTTCTTTATCTTCTTTGGTCCACACACTTCCTACAAGTTCAGATGGTTGAACTTTCCTATGGAATTAAAAATCAGGGCAATTTAATTTATAAAGGATTAGTATTACTTAAAGATCTTCTAAAACTTAACAAGAAAAAGACAATTAACCCAAAAGATAGATGAACACATATATGAACAAGTAATTCAGAGAGGAATAGACCCAAATAGCTACAAACACGAAAACATACTTCATCCCTTACTCTGGGAAAATAACATAAAACCACAATGAAATCCCATTTTACTCTTATTAGATGAACAAAAGTCTGATAATTCAAGGCCGGGTGCAGTGGCTCATGCCTGTAATCCCAGCTTTGCGAAGCCGAGGCAAGCGGATCACCTGAGGTGAGGAGATTGAGACCAGCCTGACCATCATGGAAAAACCCTGTCTCTACTAAAATACAAAATTAGCCAGGCATGGTGGCGCATGCCTGTAATCCCAGCTACTTGGGAGGCTGAAGCAAGAGAATCGCTCGAACCCAGGACACGCAGGTTGCGGTGAGCTGAGATCGCACCACTGCACTCTAGCCTGGGCAACGAAAGCAAAGCTCTGTCTCAAAAAAAAAAAAAAAAAGAAAAAAAGAAAAAGAAAAAAAAAGTCCGATAATTCCAAATGAGTAAACAGGAACACCAATACGGAAGTAAAAATTGATACAACCGCTTTGTAAAACAATTTGGCAAGATCTCATAGTACTGAAGAGATACATACCGGATGACTCAGCAATTCGACTCTTAAGTATGCATATATCCTAGATAAACTCCGACACAAATTTATAAGAGCCAGGTGCAGCAGCTCATGCCTGTAATCCCAGCACTTTGGGAGGCTGAGGCGGATGCATCACTTGGGGTCAGGAGTTTAAGAACAGCCTGGCCAACAAGGCGAAACCCCGTCTCTACTGAAAATACAAAAAAATTAGCTGGGCGTAGTAGTGCGTGCCTGTAGTCCCAGCTACTTAGGAGGCTGAGGCAGGAGCATCACTTGAACCTAGGAAGCAGAGGTTGCAGTGAGCCGAGATCATGCCACTGCACTCCAGCCTGGGCAATAGAGTGAGACTTGGTCTCAAAACAAACAAACAAAAAACAAAGTAAGAAAACCTTTACAAGAATGTTAGTGAAGCATTATTTGCAAGAGTGAATAGAGGCTCATCATCCAAAGACTGGATAAATTGTGGAGTATAAATATAATGGAACACTACACAGCATCTATTAAGCTAACTAGAACTATATTCATTCACTTGAACAAATGCCAAAAACAATTTAAGTAAACAGCATGTTGCAGAATGACACGTAAGTATACGCAGTTTAAAAAATGTGTGAAACAAGCTGAGGTGCAGTGGTGTGCACCTATCATCCCAGCTACTTGGGAGGATGAGGTGGGAGGATTGCTTGAGGCAAGGAGTTTGAGACTATCCTGGGCAACCATAATGAGATCCTATCTCAAAAAAATTAAATAAAAAAACCAGGCACAGTAGTTCCTCCCTGTAGTTTCTGCTACTGAGAGACTGAGGTGGGAAGACTGCTTGAGCCTAGAGTTTGGGGCTGCAGTGAGCTATGATCATGCCACTGCACCCCAGCCTGTGTGACAGAGTGAGACCCCATCTTAAACAAACAAACAACAACAATAAAAAACCAGTTGGGCACTATAGCTCACACCTGAAATCTTGGCATTTTGGGAGGTTGAGGTGGGAGGACAACTTAAGGCCAAGATCAAGACCATCCTGGGTAACACAGCAAGACCTCATCTCTATGAAATTTTTTAAAAAAAATTAGCCAGGTATGGTGGTGCATGTCTGTAGTTACTAGCTACTTGAGAGGCTGAGGAAAATTGCTTGAGCCCAGGAGTTCAAGGCTACAGTGAGCTATGATTGTGCCCCTGCACTCCGGCCTGGGCAAAAGAGTGAGACCCTGTTTCTTTAAAAAAAAAAAAAAGTATACAACAATGCTATATATTGTTTATGAATCTCTGTGTATGTATATAAATTATAAAAACATAAAGAGAAATAATAAACATCAAATTCAGGGTGGTGGTGATTTCTTAGGGGAAAGAGAGCAATAAGATTGGGGAGAATTATACAAAGGATTTCAATTTTATCTAAAATGTTTTTGTTGTTCATGAATATTAATTATATTATTTCCTATATTTTTTGAATGCCTGAGTATTTAATTAAAATTCAGACAGAAGAGCAGATTAAATCATTGTATACAGTGAGTCAGAATTACATAATTTAAAAATTGGCCAAGTATAGTGGCTCACGCCTGTAATCCCAGCATCTGGGAGGCCAAGGCAGGAGGATTGCCTGAGGCCAGGAGTTTAAGGCCAGCCTGGGCAACACAGTGAGAGCCTATCACTATTTTTTTTTTTAACTGACCGGTGGCATTGCCATCAATGGCCTACAGACTTGGTTACTCATTAAAAAAACATTTTTTCATCAGTAGATTTGTGCTCAAATAAGTACTTGCTAACAGTTTCTGAAATGTTTTCTTAAAGTGGCTCTATTATTTCATCAGAAATTCAGTTTACAAGACTGGGTGCAGTGGCTCATGCCTGTAATCCCAGCACTTTGGGAGGCTGGGACAGGTGGATCACTGGAGGGAGGTCAGGAGTTCATGACCACCCTGGCCAACATGGTGAAACCCCATCTCTACTAAAAATACAAAAAATTAGCCAGGCATGGTGGCACACACCTGTAATCCCAGCTACTCGGGAGGTTGAGGCAGGAGAATCACTTGAACTTGGGAGGCAGAGGTTGCAGTGAGCCGAGATTGCGCAACTGCACTCCAGCCTGGGTGACAGAGCAAGACTCCATCCCCCCCCCAAAAAAAAGGAATTTAGTTTACAAATGATGTCAGTATTGGATATTTTTCTATGTCCTGAAAGTAGGTCCACATAAAGTGATGTGCTTTTTTTCTGATGTCCATTCATGTAAAACAATTACATTGTGAGAAAAAACATAATGCAGTACTATTTGCTTTTTTTTTTTACCTCAAGTAATAAGTACCTTCATTTCTACCTACCACAAATCCCACAACATAAACAAAGCTACCTGGATTCTAAATTACTTAAAATATAACATAACATTTTGAGTCAAGTCTGGTTCTGAATGGCATAGCCAGTGCAAACTAAGCAAATTCTAAAGAACATAAAGTAAACATAATATAGTAAAGGTACCTTACTATATTACCTATTATCACTAAATTTTATATAGTCTTGCTTTTCCCTGTGTAATCTTTATTTAAAAATTGGCTGCTTAATTCCTTGAGAATATTTTTATTTTATTTTTGAGATAGGGTCTCACTCTGTCATTCAAGCTGGAGTGCGGTGGCACGATCTTGGCTCACTGCAGCCTCAACCTCAAGTGACCTTCCCACCTCAGGCTCCTGGGCAACTGGGACTACAGGCCTGAGCTGCCATGCCTGGCTATTTTTTGCAGTTTTTGTAGGACGGAGTTTGCCATGTTGCTCAGGCTCGTCTTGAACTCCTGGTCTCAAGTGATCTGCCCACCTCAGCCCCTTAAAGTGCCGGAGTTATAGGCATGAGCCATCATGCCCAGCCAAGCATATTTATATTTTAAAAGGGGGCTCCTATACTACTCACAATAGTGATACGGAATCAACCTAAATGTCCAATAACAGATTAATGAATAAAGAAAATGTAGTATATATACACAATGGAACACTATTTGGCCATAAAAAAAGAATGAAAGCCCATCATTCAAGGCAACATGGATGAGCCTGGAGGACCTTATGTTAAGCAAAATAAATCAGGCACAGAAAGAAAAATATAACATATTCCCATTCATATATGAAAACTAAAAAAATTACGAACTTATGGAAGTAGAGAGTAGAACTGCAGGTATGAGTGGCTGGGAAGGATTTGGAGGAGGGGAAAACAGAGAGGTTGGTGTAGAAAAGTTTTTGATGGAATAATAGTAGTGACATTTTTTGACAGAGAGCTGTTACATGCAAGGCCCGTACCCTTCGCAAGAGCCTGAGATGTAAATGAGAAAAGAAAACCCATCTCACACAATATTCGATTCATTTAGCTGCTAAGGGCCTAGCATCCATACTAACTGACTTGACTGACTGACCTCAAACTAAACCAAGGTGAGAAAGTATTAGGAGTTGGAGACAGGTGGTAGACTTGAAAATCTTCTTCCTGCCATTCCTCTTGTGATGGATTGCTAGTCCCCAGTCTAGGCCTAAATAGTGATATAAGACTTTTACTTGCAGGGCAGACTAGTTAAAAACCATGCTATGACCTTTCCTCTAAGCCCATGAGAGTAGATGAGGTATTTTTAAGCACTCATGAACAATGTGCAAAATGTTTTGAAAATACATAATGTTCAAGGTTCTTAAAAATAAAGCAAGAAATTAACATTAATTGTCTACCTGTAGAGATCAGACTCCAAAAGTGTCAGCTGACGTGCAATTTCTATTGGATGAAGTGTCATGAGATCAAATGTTTCAAACTGTCCTGGTTTGCTGATATGCCATTCAATGGCTGGAGGTGGACTTTCAAAGGTAATATTATGGCTTATTCCATTTGCCTGAGCTTGCTTCTTCCTCTTGATGATCTTAGCGATTGACTCTACCCATTTCTTCATAGCTTTCCCTGGAAAAAGAACACATAAACAAAAATGTCTTTTACTTGACACACATGACTACAAATCTTCATTTAATCCTTAACTTTCACCCAGCCTCAACAATTACCAACTCATGGCCAATTTTTATTTTATCTAACCCTAAATATGATAGAACATATGTTATTCTGAAACAAATCCAAGACATCATATTTCATTCATATTTAAGCATCTTTAAAACACTCTTTAAAGTAATAACCACAACACCATTATCACATATAAAACTGACAACTTCTTAATACATTGTTGTCTTCAAGAATTTTGTCACTGTTCACATTTCTCTGATTATTTTCCTTTTTTTTTTTTTTTTGAGACAGGGCCTTGCTCTGTGGCCCAGGTTGGAGTGCAGTGGTGCAATCTCAGCTTACTGCAACTTCCATGTTGCAGGCTCAAGCGATCCTCCCACCTCAGCCTCCCGAGTAGCTGGAACTGCACATACCACCACACCTGGCCAATTTTTGTGTTTTTTGGTTTGTTTTTTTTTTTGAGATGGAGTCCCACTCTGTCACCCAGGCTGGAGTGCAATGGCGTGATCTCAGCTCACTGCAACCTCTGCCTCCCGGGTTCCAGCAATTCTCTTGCCTCAGCCTCCTGAGTAGCTGGGATTACAGGCGCACACTACCACACCCAGCTAATTTTGTTGTATTTTTAGTACAGATGCAGTTTCACCATGTTGGCCAGGCTGGTCTCGAACTCCTGACCTTGTGATCCGCCCGCCTCGGCCTCCCAAAGTAATGGGATTACAGGCATGAGCCACCGCGCCCGGCCTAATTTTTGTAATTTTAGTAGAGACGGGGTTTCTCCATGTTGCCCAAGCTGGTTTTGAACTCCTGGACTCAAGTGATCTGCCTGCCTTGGCCTCCCAAAGTGTTGGGATTACAGGCATGAGCCACTGCGCCCGGCCATATTTTCTTATAGTTAGTTTGAAAAGGGATCTGAACAAGAAGGCACGTATTGCATTGAGTCAATGTGTCTCAAGTCTCCTTTAATCTACAGGTTACTGCTTTATTGCATATTTTTGCTTGCACTTTGTGGAAGAAATTGTCATTTGCCATGTTTTTCTGTCCTCTATATTTTCTGTAAAGCGAGATATAGTGACTTGGTCTGATTCAGGATTAATTTTATGACACAAATACTTGCCAAGAATACTTCTAACAGGAGGCATATCTAGTTACCTTTTTGCGATGTCACCCATCCACTCATGATAATTCTCTAGGTTTATTATTTTACTAGGAACTGAGAAATGTGATATTCTACCATTCCTTCTTCACTTACTAGTTGAAATACTTCCACAAAAATAATCTTTCCTCATGAACGATTTGGTTATTCTGAAGTCTAACTAGTATAGGAAAGAACTTTGGACATTAACATAACCATTTACTTAATTTATTCTAGTGTGTGTGTGTATTTTAGAAGCTTCTTAGATTGTGTCTAATCCAGTGTTCTCACTTAGAATATAAATTTTCGTTTTTTGTTTGTTTTGAGACAGGGTCTCACTCTGCCCAGGCTTGTGTGCAGTGGCGCAATTTCAGGTCACTGCAGCCTCGAGCTCTGGGCTTAAGTGATCGCTTCACCTCAGCCTCCTGAGTAGCTGGGACTACAGGCGCATGCCACCATGCTTGGCTATTTTTCGTATTTTTTGTAGAGACTGGGTTTTGCCATTTTGCCCAGACTGGTCTCAAACTCCTGGGCTCAAGCAATCAGCCCACCTCTGCCTCCCAGAGTGCTGGGATATTCTAGGTGTGAGCCATTGCACTGGCCTAGAATACAATTTGAAAATGTAGTATTATGAAAATTTTAAGGCACACATAAAAATGTATCATAAACATCTCAAATTAGAAACAAAGGAATAACATTCTTAACTTTAAATAATATTCCCCTTAAAGAACAAGTAGAACACGAAATAAGTTACACTTGTTATAGTATTTGTAATGCCCTATAATGTCAGATAAAACATAAGTGTTCTTGATTCAGTAATATACATTTGATGACATATTTGTTTAAATGTTCATGGCCTAGGATTTCATTTCTTGGGCTATGATTCTGAAACTTAAAGTAGAAAACTCCTCTCTTTCAGATTTCAGAAATACACCAAAAACATTTCAGAAGACGTAAATATTATAAGAAAGCTGTTAATCATTAAAATTAAAGAAAAAGATTAAAGAAAGTAAGAAAACATAAAATTACACATATTTTATTCAGTTGAAGAAATGGCAACCTTGCAATGAGATAAAATTAAATAGCTTAAATTTATTAAAGAGGACTTTCGACTTCTTTAAAAGAAATATTCTCCTCAAAAACTTGAAAAGGCAAAGTTCTGAGACCTCAGATGATTCTAAACATATATGAGCTTCTTGCCATCTATAAAAAACATTCCAAATTTTATTTCAGCTTTTTAAAAATGAAAAATGCTGGCCAGGCATGGTGGCTCATGCCTGTAATCCCAGCGCTTTGGGAAGCTGAGGCAGGTGGATCACCTGAGGTCAGGAGATCGAGACCAGCCTGGCCAACATGGTGAAATACCATCTCTACTGAAAATACAAAAATTAGCCAGGCGTGATGGCATGTGCCTGTACTCCCAGCTACTTGGGAGGCTGAGGCAATAGGATCACTTGAATCTGGGAGGCGGAGGTTGCAGTGAGCTGAGATGGCACCACTGCACTCCAGCCTGGACAACAAAGCAAAGTTGTTTCCAAAAAAAAAAAAAAAAAAAGGAGAAATGTTTTAGTTTCTTAAAGTCACACAGATTTGAACATAAACTCATGTGCAATATAAGATTCAATCAAACCTTTAAATAATATACCTCTTACACTTGAAATGAAGGATTCTAGTCTTTCAAGCAATTCCAAATCTCTTTCAAAGTCATAAAAATGATGTTCAACCCAATGCCGAAATACATTTAAGATCCTGATAAAATGGAAAGAAACACATTTTAGTGAAACATAAGTGTTCAATTACACTTCTTCCTTCTCTAATGCCATGATGATAGCTTTATATACAAGAGTCAACTAATACTCAAAGACTCTCTAATTTGTATTTAATTAATACCTTAAGTGCTTCAATGACAAGAGGAGAGTAGGTCTCCAAACTGTGTATTATTTATTAATAAAACGTATACTTTTAACATATTTATAAGCATAAAAAGAGTGGTTTCTGTACTTCCCATTTATGTTAAGGAAAAGTATCTTTTCTTTATTCATATGTAGAAAACTTATGCTTTATATTACAAAAGCTATTGTAAGTTCATAAAAAGCACTTTTAAGATTTAAATTTTGATATTTTTTCACTTAAAATGGAAAACCAACTAAGATGCACTGTATCTGGTTTTAAATTCAAGTACTATCATCAAATTTCTTTCTTTTTTTTTGAGACGGAGTTTTGTTCTTATTGCCCAGGCTAGAGTGCAATGGTGCGATCTTGGCTCACCGCAACCTCCAACTTCCGGAGGTTCAAGTGATTCTCCTGCCTCAGCCTCCCAAGTAGCTGGAATTACAGGCGCCCGCCACCATGCTGGGCTAACTTTTGTATTCTTAGTAGAGATAAGGTTTCACCATGTTGACCAGGCTGGTCTCGAACTCCTGACCTCAGATGATCTGCCCATCTCGGCCTCCCAAAGTGCTGGGATTATAGGCATGAGCTACCATGCCCAGCCTATCATCAAATTTCTATGTAATCTACACATAAACCTACAGTCTCTTATTTCATTTCAAAAGAAAAAAATAGAAGAACTTTTGTTTTACAGCATCACAAATATGATTATCTGTAACAAAGAGAGATTTAATCTACCTTGCCAATGGAAAGGAAAGGAAAGACAAGGGGAGAGGGAAGAGGAGGAAAATGGAGGAGGAAGAAGGGAAAGGGAAAGAGTAAGGGAAGGAAAAAAGGAAGAAAAGAAGGAAACTAGTAGGCAAGCCATGGAGAGAAAATATTTGTAAAATGTTTATCTGACAAAGGACTGGCGTTCAGTCCTACCCAATTTACTCCTACAACTCAGTAATAAAAAGACAAGTATCTCAATAAAAATTAGACAGAGGACTTGAACAGATTCTCCACAAAATAAGTATGAATGAAATACCGCTACACCTAGCAGTATGGGTAAGGCACAAAGACTGACATTACTAAACACTGATGAGAATATGAAGCAACTAGAACATTGTTGGTGAGAATGTTTGGGAAGTTTTGGCAGTTTCTTTCAAACCTAAACACACACATATCTTATGACCCAGCCACTCCACTCTGAGCTATTTACCCAAGAAAAGTGAAAAATATTCACAGTAAGACTGGTAAGATAAAGTTCACAGCGGCTTTATTCATAATAATAAAAAACTAGAAAAAGCCCATGTATCCTTCAGTGGGAAAATTAATAAACTGGTATATTCATATAATAAAACACAACCTCGTAATAAAATAAACCATTGATATACAAGCAAAACCATGGATGAAATTCAAAAGCATATTAAGTGAAAGAAGACACAACATTGAGTTTGTAAGAATGCATTTATGTAAGACTCTAAAGCAGGTAAAACTAATCTATGGAGGGAGAAATTGGAACACTGCCTTTGGGCAGTGGGAACAAAACTGATGAGAAGGAATGTAAGGGAACTTTCTGGGGTGTAGTAACATTCAATATCGTGAAAGGCGTTTGGATTATAGAGATGCAAGTGTTAAAACTCAACAGAAGTACACTTAAGATGTGTGTACCTTCTGTCTTCAGTGGAAGCAACAAAAAATGTATTTCATTATACGCACATTTTAGAACAAAAGAAAAACAAACACTGAACTGTTAATGACACACAAGTTGAAGTATTTAAGGAGTGTACTTCAAAATTCATATAAAAATTAATGAATGAACTGATAGATGAATGATAAATGAACAGATACATGAATAGCTATGAATAGATGAATACATATCTAGGTGGAGGGTTTAGGGTGTTCATTTTAAAATTCTCAATTTTGCTGTATGTTAAAATTTTTCATAATAAAATGTTAGAAAAATTACTACCATCCATTTTACTAGAAATCTTTCAATATTTATATAACAGGTTTAGTAACTTGGCCTGGATTTCAGAGTTTTCAACTCCATCCAATTCCATATAGGTAATCTCATCTACTACTTCTTGCAATACAATGCTTACATTCCTCTCAGGTCAATGTCCTTACCTGTGTCCTCAGCACACCATTCTTATTTCTGCCTTCTTACCTTTCTTCATACTATTTCCCATGACCCTGAATACCTACAATCACCTTTCTACCTATCTAAAGCCTATACATCCTTTAGGGGCAATCTCAGATTTTACCTTCTCCAAGATGCCTTCCCTAGTTACTCTGGTCTAATCTTTGCTATTCCTGAAATTTTATAGGGTTGTATTTTTTCTAAGTCACTTAAACACTCAAAGTAGAACAATACATAACTGTTTCATGTGTCTTTTTCCCCCAGTAAAGTCCCCAGTAAAGCCATAATATCATGACAGTCTGTGTTATTTTTGTACTTAGCATAGTTATAGGTACAGGACTGAGAATACAGCAAATGCTTAGAAATACATACTTAAAGAGCTTATATGACTGAGAATCAAGTATCATACTCCCACCCCTACCCCACCCAATAGCAACCTCATAAATGTATGTCTCATATCAAGGGATTTCATGTGAGTGTAGATAAGTACAAATGCATCACAGCTGGCAGAAAAAACTAATTACTTATTTATTGCTGACACATAAATAATCTCATCTTCTTATACAAAGAATGACATGTTAAAAGTTTTAGTGAAAGACATATAGCTGGGAGCACTATCATTCTTCTAAAACTGCATTTATTTGTGGCAATTATCCTGGGAAATAAATAACTAATATACTCAGTTCCAAAATTACAATTTATTGGTCAACAGTAAACAAGGACACTTGAAATTTACAGAGAAAAAATTTAGATTATATATAATTAATAAGATAACTTGGTTTCCAATGGAAGGGGGTATATAATACTTTGGTTACTTGGACTGTAAAGAGGGCTAATCAAAGGATTAGCCCTAAGGATTAGCAATTTTCAATGCTTAGTGGTAAACACACGCACACACACACACACAGACTAAGAAAATCAGACATGAGTCCTGCCACTCTCTTCATATAACTTAGCTCAAATTACTTCATCTTGCTAGGTTTCAATTTCCTTATATATAAAGTAGGAATAGTAATCATGTTGTAAGAATGAGATTAAAAAGATAAAACATTTAGGGTAATCCCTGGCACACAGTAGTATTTATTAACTGGAAGCTTCTATAATCAAATACATTTTTAGAAATTATTGCAATGGTTTCTTAAACAAATGCCTATATATTTTGTGAGAGATAAGTGGGAAAAGGGCTAGAACTTCCACACTTCCACAAATATTATAAATTGTAAAAAAGCCAGGATTACTATATGATCGCAAAGGGAAATGAAGGAAAAAAGTGTGAAAAAAGGTTGACAGCAGGCAAGCTCATATGAAATTTTATAATTTTTACTTACTATAACAAATAGGTATCCTGCTACGTAAGCATAACATATCACATGCCAGAGATATGTGATGCAAATACAGGATATTTCAATGGTTGAATTTCTTCAGGGTATTTAAGAATACCTTCACTGAGAAAGAACTTTTTTAGTTTTCCTTAACTGCTGTGAAGTTAAAAATATTACCTATATTTGAATTAAAAGCTGAGAACTTTTGTGTTAACTATATATTGAAAACTGACACATAAAATATGTATACATATATATAAAATATTCAAACCAAACCTAAGTTGTACTGGTTGGACGTATTCCTTGCGAAATCTTTTAAGGTCTGCACTGATTGGCTGCTCGCCTTTCTCTATTGCCAATTTGTCTGCGTCAGTAGGTTCTGGCTCTGGGATTTCAAACCTAAGAAGAAAAGCAAAAGGAGAAAAATCTGTTCATACATAATGAAAATACAAGGAGGAAAACATTGTGACCAAGCAACCTTCTTTCCTACCACTTCCATGAAAAGTGGATTACTGTTAAACTTCCCTTAAGGTATGGTATACTACAAAAAACTGTCCTTTGGCTATACAAAACTAAGGTTTTGTATTTTTACTTTCATAAAAACTAAAGTTTTGCTTTTTAGCACTGATCAATACAGAAAAGGTCCAGTGGAAAGAGCCAAGGAAAGAATTCATAAGCAATTTAAAGAACATGATAGAAATGGCTTACTTAATCTGTCTTTAATATTTATATTATTAAAATGAAAGTAGGCTAATAAATTTTTTTTTTTTTTTTGAGATGGAGTCTCGCTCTGTTGCCCAGGCTGGAGTGCAATGGCTCGATCTCGGCTCACTGCAACCTCCGCCTCCCGGGGTCAAGCAATTCTCTGCCTCAGCCTCCTGAGTAGCAGGGATTACAGGCACATGCCACCACGCCCGGCTAATTTTTGTATTTTTAGTAGAGACGGAGTTTCACCATCTTGGCCAGGCTGGTGTTGAACTCCTGACCTCGTGATCCACCCACCTCGGCCTCCCAAAGTGCTGGGATTATAGGCGTGAGCCACCGCGCCCAGCCATAAATTTCTTTAAATGAGTATAAATTCAAAGAGAGGGCCAAAACTGAATATTTAACAATATTTAAATAATTTACCTAAGTGGATAAGATAAAAATTAAAAAAATTGCTCAAAACATAGGAAATACAGCTAAACTATAAGTCTAACAAGTGTGCTTTCTTTTTCTGGACATGGAAACAGAACTAAGTAGATCTTCATAGCACATTACACTGATTCAGTCTGGTAAATTTAGTTTCATAAAACAACATAGTGATAGAGATCTAGAATTACATCTTGATAATACAGTTGATAAGCTTTGGTATAAGTAATAAGTTTTAGTAAGTTTTAAAATGTAAAACAAAAAATCATTTTGGAGTTCAGATTCTACATTTTAAACTATAAAACATTTAAGAGTCCTGCCACTCTCTTCATATAACTTAGCTCAAA